GCCCCACAGAGCATCTCCCCTGTTGTCAGCCTTAGGAGGCCCAGGGTAGGGTTTCCTCCTCAGAGTCTTAGGAAGGTGAAGGCTTTGTTTTAAGTAGGTGACTTCAGGTCAGCAGACAAACGAGTCTCAGACCCTGGCAGGTGACAAGGTAATGTCCCTGAGATTCTTCAGAAGGGAAAAGTGTGGTTCCATAGACCATGGGCTGCCCTGGGAGACCCCAAGCAGAGATAGCAAGATGAAATGCCCTCTCACTTCTCCTTTGTTTTTATAGGGAATTGAGGCTTTATTGTGAGTGGGCAACCTCAGGTCAGCAGAGGGAGGAGTCCCAGACCCTGTTAAGAGTCAAGTTAAGGAAACTGAATGAAGACTCTGGGGACCACCAACTTCAAAAGTGAAGGGAGTCAACAGAGTTCAGTTCGTCCCCTGTGGTCAACCCTGGGAGGTCCCCATGTCACACACCTTCACCTCATCCTTTGTGGTCTTGGGGAAATGTGAGCCTTGGTCTGAGGGAGCAAATTGAGCTCAGCAGAAGGAGTCCCAGGTCCTTCCAGGAGTCAAAGTAGGGACCTGGAATGAGGATTGATGGACTCAGTCATCCCAGAATACAGGTGGCTGCACAAAGCCCCAAGTCTGCTGTCAGTCCTGGGTGGCCCTGGGCATGGATGTCTCGATGAAATGCCCCCTGACTTCCCCCTCAGTGATCACAGGAATGGGAGTTTTTAGTTTGAGGAAGCAATACCAGGTGAGCAGAGGGACTGAGTCTCACACAGTGTCAGGAACCATGATGCAGGCTTTAAATGAAGACTAAGTGGACACCAACTTCAGTATTGTTGGGACTTCATGAGCCTCACCTGGTCCTTGAATTCATCCCTTGGTATCCCAAGGCAGGAGTGGCCAAAATTCCCATATGCTCCCCTCATCTTCCAGATCTCAGGGATGTGAGGATCTTGGTCTAAGGGGAAGAGTCTCAAATCAACATAGGGGAGGGGGGCACAGACAGTACCAAGAGGCTAGGCAAAGACCCAGAGTCAAGACCGAGGTCATTATCCACCCCAGGACAGAGGGGACCTGACAGAGTCCTACTCTTGTTGTCAGTCTAAGGAGTCACAGGCAGGGATCACCTGATGAGGTACTCCCCCTCTTCTTTTTGAGGGTTTCATTGAGGAGAGGGTCTTGATATGTGAGACCTAAATACATCAGGTCAGCAGAGGAAAAAGTCCTAAGGCCTGCCAAGATCAAGGTAAGGACCCTGAGTGATATCTGAGGGGTCCACCAATCCCAGAATATTCTGGCAGGGGCATCGTTAGGTAAGAGAAGGGTGAGGTCTAAGTCCTGGCAAGTAGCCAAGGTAAAGACTCTGAGTGAAAGCTGAGGTAATTACCCATCCCAGAAGAATGGGGGCCCAACATAACCTTGCTCTGCCTCTGATTTCATACCTGGAGGCCCTGGACAGGGCTGTCAGGCTGAGATGTTCCCTCACTTCCTCCTCAATAAACTCAAAGTGGTAAAAGTTTTCATCTGAGAATGTGCCATCAGGTCATTTGAAGGTGCTATCCCAGGCCCTGCCAATAGTCAATGGAAGGAGCTTATATGAGACTGATGAGAACACCTACTCCAGAACAGATTTATCCCTACAGAGCCTTGACCTGCTGTCACCCTTGGGAGACTTTGGGCAGGGAAGGCAGGATAAGATGCCTCCTCACTTCCTACTCAGTGGTCACAGGGAGATGAGGCTTTAGTATGAGGGGGCAACATCAGGTCAACAGAAAGGAGGAGACTCATACAGTGTCAAGATCCAAGGTGAAGACTTTGATTGAGTGATGAGGTGAGGCAAACTACCTAAGTATAGAGACTCCACAAGCCCTGCCCTGCCTCTGATATCAGGCCTGGGAGGCCCAAAGCAGGGTTGACCAGAAGTGCCACTGCCACACTTCATAACTGGGGCCTTGGTATTAGGGGATGACCTGATATTAGCAGAGAGGAGGAGGCCCAGACACTACCAGCAGCCAAGGTAAGGAACCTGAACTGGGATTGAAGGGTCCATCCACCCAGAAGAGAGAGAGCTCAGCAGAGCCTAACCCCACCTGCCTACTGTCAAGACGTGGGAATTCTCTGGCTGGGTGAGCTGGCTGCAACCTGTGGAGCGTTGCACTTCCTCCTTTCAGGTTGTTAGGGGACACAACACTCAGGAGGACAGGAGACCGGTGAGGCTCTAGAGCACTGCTGTCAGGAGAAGACCATTGTATGTGGTTTTCATCAGAACCACCTCAGTTTAATTTACCAACTTAGGCCACTCACATCCTCCTTCTCTCCCTTAGGCTCTGGTCTCCATTACTACCCACACTCCTGCCTGCTGTTATCCA